TTTATTTATTAAAAAAAAACCTTTTTTTTTTTATTAATTTTAAATAGGTATATTAGGAATATAAAAGGTAGATTAGTTTTTTACTTTTTTATTGTTAATATTATTTCCTATAGTCTACTATTTTGTCTTCTGTTTTATTTACTAACAAACTTTCTTTTCTATAGATTTATTAAAAAAATGGCCATTTTATTCTTATAACTAATCTTATTATATAGGTTTTAGTAGTACATTTCAGAAGGTATTTTTATTATTTTATTTGTTTTCATTTGATCTCTTCATGAATTCATATTTTATTTTACTAATTTCATCATTTTTTTTACTAAATTTCAGTTAATAAGGAAGTTAATTTCATTTCTGTTATTTTTTTAATGACAAAATCAAATAAAAAAATGTATAAAGTTAGATTTATAAATTTAAAAATAAAAAATCAGATTTTGTTAAATAAAATTCTTTTTGAATTTTCCAATCTGATATGTGTAATCATATTTTGTAATATAATATAGATAATTAATTTTTTTAAATTTTAGCCAATTTAGCGAAAACTTTTAATTTTCAATTTTTTAATTTCATTTTGATTTTAGTGTTTTATATAATGAAACTTAACAATGATGAAAATAATGTTAATATTAGTGATTCTGCTCAAACTGATAGTATATCCAGTACAGAAATAAGTAAAAGAAAAAAAAGAAGAGTTTTAATTAAGGATAAAACAGATATATGATGTTATTTTAATAAACTTAATCCACTAAAACTTAAACACAAAAAGGTTCTTGCAATGTAGAAATTAGGATAAGTAAAGATGTAAAAATATATAGACATATAATTAATACAGATGGATCAACTGGTAATTTTTGAACTCATTTAGAATCTTATCATAGCATACTTAGATCTGAAAAGAAAGTAATAATGATTTTACTCAAATAAAAATTGATGCAATGTTTCATAAATAGTGAGCAAAAAATCTTAAGCATAAGCAAGAGTGTGATAAAGTATTAATAGAATTTTTAGTTGATGATATGCAACCATTTTATATATTAAAAAATGAAGGTTTTATTAATTTGGTCAAAACTCTTAATTTTTATTATACTCTTTCAAGTAACAAATATATCAAAAAGCTTATAATTAAGGCATATAATAATTCTAAATAAAAACTTTTAAATTTATTTGATAATTCTATAAAATTCTATTCAATCACAATAGATTTATAGACTGTTAGAGATTATCAAGATTATATTAGTATTACGTGTTCATTTATCAATAAAGAATTTGAATTACAAGAAATAATGTTAGCGTATCAATATATGGAATACCTATACACAAGTAAAAATATTGTACAAACAATATTGGATTTAATTTTTAAATTGGGTTTGGAGAAAAAATTTATTTGTATTATTACTAATAATGATAGTAATATGTTTGCTGCTTTAAAACTTTTACCTAATACATTTCAGATTTCTTGTATGGCTCATACACTAAATCTTGTAATAAATAAAAAATTAATGCTAGTTAAAATCTTAATAGTACATGTAAAATGACTTATTAATTTTTTTATGAGTTTAAAGTAAAATGAACATTTGAAGGTGATACAAATACGTAATTTAAATGAATCTGAGGTTTTATTTTCATATTTATTTTAATATTTCTTAATTTATTTAATTATTAATAATATTAACAAATAATAATATAATTTTTTATTTAGGATTTTTCAAATAATCACAAATATTTGTATACAATTTAAGACATAAAAACAAGATGGAATTCTTCGTATCTTGCATAAAAATGTCTTCTTAGACTTTATAATACAATTAATATATTAATTGCAACTATGAGTATCGAATCTGATATAAATACAAAAAAGAATTTAAAACATCTTAAAGAAATAATGCTTAGTAATAATGAATGAAAACTTATAAAATAATTAACTAAAATACTTCAACCTTTTTATGATGTAACTAAATTATTAGATAGTGAAAAATATGCAATAGCTTTTTTTATGTATTATGTTATGGTTACTTTTCAAATTAAAGTAATTCCTAAAGAAGTTAGCAGAGTAGTAGATTTAATAAATGATGATGATGCATTTGATGATGTTGAATTTAAAGATGGTGATGATGATGATATTATTATTATGAATGAATCACAAAACAAAAGAAGAAAAATTAAAATTAAAAATCCTTTAAATTGTAAAGAAAAAGAAGAAGAAGTTAAAAAAAAATTTATATTATTTATTATGTCATTATTGGAAAAATTCAGCAAAAGAGAAATGATATCAGCATTACTTAATTCACGTTAAAAAGGTCTTAATTTTATTTCTAGTTTAAAAAAAGTAAGAATAATTTCTTTTTTACATGATGAATATTAATCTGTTAAGGAATCAGAAGAGTTTATTACTAATACTATAAATAATCATGATTTAGATTTATTGGAATCAAGTAATTTTTTACTTGTAGATATGTTTACAAAAAGTCAAAATACTGAAAATAAAATTAATAAATATCTTATATTACCACAATTATTTTTTAAAACTGATCTTTATAAATGATAAGCAGGAAATCAAGAGAGATTTCCAATTTTATTTTATTTGGCCAAAAAGTATTTATCAATATCTGCTACATCAATATCTAGTAAAAGATTATTTTCTTAAGTAGGTAATATAATAACAGTAAAGCATATACAATTGAAGCTAAAATTTTTTGAAAAACTTTTATTTTTAAAAAAAATCATAATATTATAGGTAATCTCTTTTCACTAAAAATTTATAATGAAATTAATAAAATTTAAGTATTTCTTAATTATTTAAAATAAATAAAGATGTTAAATATTGTATTAAATATTATATTTATATTTTATATTATGTGTATTATATAAGTTATCTATGGAAAATTTATATTATCCTTAATATCTGTAATATTTATATATTTATAATATCTGTATTATTCATATTATTTATATTATCTATATAAATCCATGAATAACACAGATATGGATTATCCATCCAACTTTTTTTAAATTATTCATATCTGTACTTAATTTTTATATAAATAACAGATATTAAATTTATATTGTGAATATATATTTACGGATAACATAAATACACAGATCTAAACTCTAATATTTATATTAAATTAATTAAATTAATAATAATAATAATTATATTTTAATAATTTATTCTTTAGATTTTTAATTTTAGAAATAATTAAAACTTTTAATGAATCAAATTAAATCAAATTATAAGTTAAATATTAAAGATAGTCTACATAATTACTTTTAAATTTCAATTAAATTACAACTTAATTGCATTATAAGTAAATTTAATTACTATATGTCATAAATTGTAACTTAATTACATTATTTTTTAATTGTATGCCTATTTTTATTAAATATTTTAATTTTAAAATTCTTTATATTAAATTAAATAAAATTACAATTTTATTAGTTAAAATATAAGTCTATAACTAGTAAACAGTTTCAAAAATCATCATTAAGTTCAAAACACAAGTGTAATGAGACCAATCATAAATTAACTCAAATTTTGAGCAGGCAGATAAATCAATACTGAATATAGACATATATAATCCTTTACTTATGCTTCAAACTAAAAATAATACTTTTAATTATATAATTAAGTAAAAAATATATTTAAATTTTTTATTTTGTAAATATTTATAATTTTTTCTTAAATTTTATAATATTTAAATTTGTTTTAAACAATTTCAATTAAAAAAAAACAGTTATGTAATTTTAATATACTTTTTAAAGTAATAATATTAAAATTTCTTTATAAATAAAAATTATTTTAATTTTTTATTTCTATTTTTAATTAAATTATTTAATATAATTTCTTGTAATAAACTTTTTTTTTTTTTATTATTAAATAATGATAAAGATTTATTCTTTAATAACTTCTTCTTTAAATTGAATATTACAGTAATCAAATGCAATAGATTCTTCAGCATCTTTAATAAGTGAATTTGCACCATGATGATATAAATACCTAGCACAATCTAAATTTTCAGAAATACAAGCTAAAATAAAAATAATTTAATTAATTGCATTATTTTTTTTTATAATTAATAAATAAATAATAATGAAAATTATCATAACCAACCATGATGTAAAGGTGTTTCCTTTTCAACATCAGACTAATACAAAGTAATTCTTAATAAAATCCAAATAAAAAACTAAATCGGAATGTGTAATAAGTTATAACATACCAATATATTTACATCTGCTCCTCTTTCAATCAATAATTTTACAGCTTCTAATTGACCTTGATCACTTGCCCAATGTAATAGCGCTAATCCCTTAAAAATATTTAAAGGAAAAATAAATAATCAAAACGAAAAGAAAAAGTTTATTCATTAAATAAATTACCAACCTGATCATCTTTGGCATTTATATCTACTTTATCTGAGTCTAAAATTTTACTTAACTCTGCAATATCACCTTTCTTTGTATATGAAAAAATATCATCTCTAAATTTTTTAAAAAAAAATTATTACAAATTTTTTTTTAAAAAAAAAATTCTTTCTATAAGATCTCTAATAAAACTAACTCTTTATTATGATCTTCCTCTTCCATTTCATAGCACATTGTAGAAACATAAGTCATTCTTTCTTGTTCTGTACTTAAGTTACTCTTAAAATATTTAAATAAATTAATATAAGAATTCAAATAACTTTAGAAAAAACCATTTTTTATTTTTTAATTTACCTTGTCGTTATCGACATCCTCATAATCCGTATAATCATCATCATCCAATCGATGCCTATTCCAACCAATGTTTGCTTGTTCTAGAGTTTCAATATATATTTGCATGGCAACTTCTGCAGGAGTATTTTCAACTTCTTTCCATGCATCCCATTTAGCTCTTCCTCTAAGGTCCCATAAAGATGGTTTTGCTGTATCGTTTTTGCCTACTGTTACAACTTTATAATGACCATAGAGCTGAAAGCGAGCAAGAAAAAAAAAAATAATTATTTTTTGTATAAATTTTATTACAAGAAACAATTTGTACGTTACTTGCTTTAAGTTTTGTTTCATTAGATAAATTAATTTCAGGATGATCATTAAGAAATGTATAAGCAGTAGTAAACTGTTCTATCAAAAGCAAATCAGTCATTTTGAAAAATAAATGAAATATATGATTCGTTCATTCCTTCAAAAAAAACCATCCATAAAAAAAAGCCATTATTTCCCCGTGATACAATGACGCATAAGATGTTAATATTTTAATATTCAATTTTATAGGAGTTGTTTATATTCAAATATTCGAAAATCATTTTACTTCAATAAGAAAAAATTTTGAAAATATAAATAGACAATTTTTGCCTAGACTCGGAGTTCAGACTTTTTTTAAATTTATATTTCGAAATATCACATCTCTAAATTTAGTAATGATATGAAAGATTTTTTTTGTATGAATCATCTTTGTATTTCATAATACAACAATATATTCTCACCTTAGTTTTAATCAACGCATTTATTTAATTAATAAGATTAATACGTGTATGGTATAGAATCTAAATCATTTAATATTATACTATAAAAGGTTTTGCACAAAGTGACGAGATCGGATACATTGCATATCACAATGTGATATTATCATAATTTTAAAAATTGGATCAATTTTTTTTTTTTTAAAAAAAAAATTTTTTTCTCTCTCGTTTTATTTTTATCATTATTTTTTTTCTCTTGTTTTTTTTTTTTTTCTTTTTATAAAAGTAATTTAAAATCTATTTTTTTTGATATATTATTAATGGGATATATAATAATGGAAAAGCTTGATCCATTATCAGGTATTGTTTTCCTTTAAAAATAAATTGATAGCTATTTTTTTTTCTTAAAACAAATAAAAAACTTTATTTATTTTTTTGGTAGTTTAGTGGTTGTTGAGAGACTAAAATCATCAGATAAAAAGGATTTCAATCATCCAGATTATGAGTTAAATGAGATTCGGATATCAGCAGATGATTTTCTATTACAATATCCAAGGGGGGCTTATACGTCCGCTAGAACTGTTAAAAGACATTCTATTATGGATTTGCAAGGACATATTGATCGAACAGTAAATTCCATGCAATTAATAAAATTTATTCCAAAAAATGAAAATTCTTCAGAAGCGAATCATGATGATAATGAAGTAGAGCCGCCGCACATTACCCAAGAATTAATCCCATATAGAGATCCGGATACCTTTAAAAAAATGATTTTACCTTTATTGAGAATAGGCTTATTAAGGTATTATGAAATTGAGGAATCATCATCTTGGCATATTAAAGGTAAAGGTGAAGCCAAAGTCACTTTTCTTATTTGTTATTCGTTTGAGGTAATTATGAAACATTTTCTTTTTGATTCAAAAGTTTATGAAATGGATTAATGACAATTAATAAATTTTTAATAAAGAAAAATAGGCCTATGTTAACTTTACATTTTACACCCTTACACGCTCCAAGTACACCTAAATGCAAAGTAAGTTTCATCAAACTTATTTTTAATAGTAATAATATACTGATTGAATTCAATAAACAATTTAATTTATTTCATATAGGTTGAAATGTATGGAGAACCGAGGAAATCAGCCGAAGCAAAAGATTCAAAGTGGGTTCGGTATGTATAGATAGTCAACATGTCCCCACAATAACATAATAATTTATTAAATATTATCTATATATTATTATTTTTACAGTGAACGTAATGTATTAGAGTTGAGTAAGCATCCAGGATTTAATGAAATCTTACTTTCGGATTCTCATACACACAACGTTTACGAGGGTTTGAGTTCCAATTTTTTTGCAGTACTATATAATCCCGATAAAAAAGAACCTTTAGTTATAACTGCACCTTTACAATATGTTCTGGAAGGGACTATATTAAAAATAGTTAGAATGGTTTGTGAAAGAGATAAAATCGATTTACAATTTTGGTTTCCTAATGCTGATGATGTTGAACATTGGGAAGGCGCTTTTATAACAAGTACGGTATTTGATATTGATTTAATTCAAAAAAAAAAAAAAAAAAAAAAAAAAAAAGAAAGATTTCTTTTGACTTTGAATTTATCTTCTTTAGGCACATCTCGATTAGTTTTGCCAATTGAATTGATCAAGTTTCGTGATGGAAGGTTGGCATAATTACTGTGATCCTATTTACACAAAAGTTAGCTTTCTTCGAACGTCTCATTACTAAAATAAATTTCTTCGTAATTTAGGCCAACGTTGAAATTACCTCCACATAACGATACGATTGAACATATAAAAAATGAAGTTGAAAAAGAAATTACTCATAGAGCATATCGTGTTTTATGGTAAAAGTTAGTTTTAATTACAATAATTTAATTTATTCTTAAAATATAATAATAATTCATAGCAATTTTTAAAATAAATTTTAATATAAAAAAAAAAAAAAAACGTTTTCAACCTCTTAAATATCTTGATCACCAAAATATTTTTTTGCATCTATATAACTTTGTAACCCACCAACATCAATTCTACCTTGAACTTTTTCAGCAGAAAATTCAAATTTTTTATTATTTATAACCCAAGACAAAAATTTCCCTGTAGCATCACGATCTTCAATAGTATGATTTGGGTTGTTTTTTGATTCCTTTAAAAATTCTTGTAATAATTCTAAAGAATTTTTATGAAGAAAATAAAAACAAGGACAAGCATATCTAAAAGTTGTAGATTGTGAAGAAGGTTTTTCCAAGAAACTAATTACTTTATTATTTTCATCCAATTCTAAGATACCAAATTTATGTACAACTTTGTCATCAACTTGATATGTTGTAACTAAACATGCTTCATCATCATTCGAATTGATTGAAATAAATTTTTCATATAATTTATTGAAATTAAAATCTTTTAAAAATAATGTATCACCTCCTATTATTAATAAATTCGAATTTACAAAATATGAAGAAAATTGTTTAATAGCGAAAAGTACGTCTTCTACAGCACCTAATCTATTTTCATTTGACGTGCTACCATCATTAACAATATTTTTAGTAGGAATATTATGCGTTTTTGCCCATGAAATGAATGATGAATATGATGGTGAATTTGTTACGATATATAACGATGATGTAACATCCAAGTTGGACCCGATTAATATATCAAGCCAATGTGCTATTAAGGAATCTTTACCACCCAATGGTAAAAGAGCTTTAGGAACTCCTAGAAGATGTGAATATTTTTGTGAAGGATCATTAAGGATGTCTCGTTGAAGTCGAGTTCCATACCCTGCTCCAAGAATTAAAACTTTAAGCGACATTTTAAAGGTTGAGAACGTTTAATTTACTAGATAACTTGGATAACTTATAGCCAATGAAAACACGTGTTGCTAACAGAAACTTTTCTGATCAAAAATAATATAGTTTTTTTTTTTTTTTTTTTTTTGTCTTACAAATGAATTAAATTGATTACAATCTTTTTTTTTTTTGAATCATTACAATTTTCTAGAAAATGCATCCAATTGCCTTTTAACATCCCCACAATATATTCGAACAGCTTTATATTCGGATTTAATATTAAACTGATGTTTCTCATCATCATATGAAGAAGAATTCAACTCATCGTTACCACTTGTACTAATATTGTTTGGTTGCGAATTTTTAACAATTTCTTCATCCGATAACGAATCATCCTTTAACAACATCCACCTTGCTTTATTACATTTGGCCCTTTCATCTAATAACCAATTAACATATTCACTTTCTAATAACCTTTTATCAATAGAATTTATTAACTGGAAAGTAAGCAATAAATCATATCTTAGTATTGCTACTTTTTTACGTGCGAATGATATCTCATCTGACATACGATGATGTGAATGAAGTAGCCATGGATACGCTGGATGGGTGATCCTCGTATCCAGAAATTGCCGAAAACTAAAATAAGACATGATCGTTAGAAAATTTAATTATGATTAAATAAATACTTTCTTATTTTAACTACCTTATAGGATCAACTCCCTTTAGAACTTTAAAACTTGAGTTCAAGACTTGTTCTTCTAAATCACGAATATATACTGCAGGTGATGCAACATATGTTTTAAGCGGATGAACAGATTCCGTAACTATTGAAGTGTTTATAACATTGTATCCAACTCCAAACCATAAATAAACGTTACATATTAATGATAATGTTAAAACAATTCCAAGTGTTCCGCTAGATGAAAATTTGGTTACAATTCCAACAAAATTTGAAATCGACCCAGTAAGTAGTCTGATAGCATGTTCCATAATATTATGAATGAGTGAATTGGACTCCCGGAATTCTTTTGGTTCTTTAGGTGAATTAGTCGAAACCTTGCTCGTTGATACTCCGGGTGATTGCGTTTCTTCGCTGCTTATTTTTGATCGTGATTTATGATGACGATATGAGTGAGGTCGGCGACGTAGTGTCGAAACTGGATGTAATCTTAACGGTGAACTTGGGACTAAAGGTTTACGTTGTGTAACTTCTGTCTTAATCAATGTCAATAAGTCTTCTACGGTATCTGCCAAACCGGACATTGCAGCTCTTCGAATTATAGACTTTACCATTGGTGATTTGAACCACTGAATGCCAATATAAACAGCTAGTTTGCAGCTTGTTTTCGAAACATAAGTTATACAATACTTGGACATTGGTAAAAATGCATCATTATACGGAAGTTGTAATGCTTTAGTATAGCTCAAAACGCTATAGCAACTAAATAACGTAAATGTAAATAAATTAACTATGTCAGAAAATTAAAAAACACGTTGAAAAAGGCAGCAGCATATAACTTACAGGTAATCATCTCGTTTCATGCATATTTGTGTCTCTATACATTCACTCTCCTTCACTTTAGCTAATAGAATAAGGTATAAAATGGTTATTAAACGATACAATTTGAAATTATATATTTATCAATTCGAATTACTCACTCATAGAGTTATTAACGGGCATAATAAATTTGAATTCTCTTTTCCTTTCTCCATTACCACTATTGTCTATAACCCATGGTCCGCTATGTAACAATCTATTTCCTTTTTTTTTATGTAAACGAGACCATATTGTACTTTTCTCATCGAATATTATATCAAAAAGTTTTCTGGCTGAAATTGAGAATTCATGTTCTACTTCATTTTGTTCAAGATGATCCGAACAATCACATTTAACGGGACCTTTAGGTTGAAGAATATTGGATGGAAGATCATCATCTTGTATAATTTTCACAAATTTATAAAGTCAGTAAATGTCTACCAATTCTCAAATAAAAAAAAAATTAAATTATACCTTCTGGTGATGGAATTGTTATCATACTAGGTGTTCTTGCATCGGTACTTTGCAAATTAAAAAAAAAAAATTAATTATAAAATAAAAATTCACAAATTATAAATTATATAGATCTAAGAAAAAATAAATACGTGTGTATTTTTTCATTAACGGGAATCTTATCAGAGAGATGATTTTTATGATCGTCTGAATTTACATTTTGCTGGCTTACCACTTCGACTTTATCCGAGGGTTTTTCATTTATTTCCTGTGTTGGAGCCTCATCTTTTTGTTCCGTACTTTTTTCAGATACAATATCTTTCTTTTCTTCCTCTTTGGATTCACTTTTTAATTTCCATACAGCATTAAATACACTTTGCAAAGATACCGACTTAATGGTAAATAGATCATAAAAATCATTATAATTTATTCTTAATAGATTAAATAATAACAAATTTATTTTTAAATATAACAAAAACCTTCTCTCCGGTTGCAAGACTCCAAACTATGCGAGCCTTTTCATGAAACACGCCTTCAATATCTAAAAATGTTTTGATTGTATACTAATAAATAGGCAATATATAAGTGAAAATTTTGAATCATAAAATTTAAATGATAAATAATAAAATCATTAAGATATTTACAACTTTACTATGATTCTCATCGACAAAATCTACTATCTGTCCTGTATCAGTTGTCTTATAATTAATAGACTTCACATCTCGCCAACTAACCCAGAACTATAATAAAAAATGGTGTTAGACCTATAACTAAAGAGATAGTAAAAGTGAATCATAATCATATTTTGGCATACCATATTTATTACGCTCATCACTATGGAATAAAAGTAAAGCTTATCTTGTGTAATATATGCACGTCCCTTAAATAGCATATCATCCATATACCACGCACAATTAAAAACTATAAAATAAGAAATAGTCAATTACTCATTAAATTCAAAAATATAATAATCAAAGATATTGGATTACTAACTATTCAATACGAATTCAACCTCAGTTGCGCAAGGAAACAATAAATGTAATTGAGCATTATGTAATAATAAATTCTGAGGATATTCAGCAATAGAACTGTCGGCACCAGATCCAACAGGAACACTTCCACTACGTGACCTTCCACCCTTATTTTTTAACGATGATGATCTTTTACGCCCTGTGCCATCTTCATTAGCTTCATCGTCACCCTCCGATGCATTAACCGTATTTATTATTAAATTCATAGTAGGCATTGCCCACTGTAAAGTTCCCCAGAAATTTTGCTGATTTGCAGATGTTGAGGATTTTTCATTAGATGGTTGTGTTGATAAGGATGAAGCAATATTTCCGTTATTATTAATAACAGGTGCTAACGTAGCCGAAGATCCCTTTAGAGACGTACTATAGCCATAATTTGTACCTATTGAACTAGGTGAATTAGAAGCTGGAGCTGCCCATTTTTTTGATAATGAATTTTGGGATGAAGGTGGAGAAGCTGCAGCTGAAGGAAGTGTAATTTTTGAATCTGCTTCCACAGAACCAGTTGTTGATGGTTTATTACTATCATGTCCTTCATCAGTAGATACGTTCTGCTCATCATCTAATTCTTTATGAGAAACTACAGCAGCTGCTGCGGAAGAAGAAAGGTCACTTGATGAACGAAAAGCGTGTCGTTTCGCATTCTCAAATACTGAAATCCAATCTTTTAAATCTGAATCTGTTTCTGCCTGCAGTAAATATGTGGTTCTTTTGATAAAATTCAGTTTTTTTTTTTGTAAATAAAAGTTAAAAAGTTTTTAAAAATCCAAATTAGTTCTGACAAAACAATATTTATTACTTACTGTTTGGCACCACATACGATTTCAAAACAGAATCTTCTATCCTGGGATATGTCTGTCCGTACTTCACATAAAAGTACTCCGATTCTCTCACTTTCCTCGATAGTTGAACGAAGTTTACCATGTCCAACGGACGCCCACCAGAAAATTCCGTCTTTTAAATAAAAATACTTTCTAACCCAAGTATTTTTTCCGGTAGCACGCATAAATAAATAACCTTGTTTAGTAGGTGTTTCGTTTGGTAGGGATGCCGGCGAAGATGGACGTGTTGTTTGTTGAACATCAGAATTAGGATGAATTGTCATTAAATTCGCTCCATTATCGGTATATGTTGTTAGGTTACGACGCGGTTTACTTGAATTAATAGCTTCCTTTGATTGACAACATGTTAATTGAAATATCTGATAATTATTTTTGTAAATATTGCTTTATGAATTACCTCCTCTAATTTATTCCGTAAATCATGAATTAGAGGAATTTGATTTTCACATGTCTTCTTGTTCTAAAAAGAAAAAAAAAAAAAAAAAAAAAATTTATGTGTAAAAGTAAATTGAAAAATAAAAAAAAAACCAAATAAAAACAAAAGTCGCTTTACCTCCGATAACCAACTCCTTAATCTTTCCAAATGATTCCCCGATTCTTTATATACAATTAGGCTTGCCTCATGCATTTCTAAATGCGCAAAGGTACCAGTCAAGAACTAAATTTAAAGAAATATCACACATCTATTCAACAAAAGGAACCAATCTAATACGAAAATAAAATAAAATAACAACTTACTTGGTCCATTATTAGATGATCTATAGAAGCCCTAAATTGAACAATTTTAAGTGTATAATCTAAAGCAGATTTAATATATGTTTTCCGAACTTCATGTAATTGAAATGCATCCTAAGTAAAATAAAATAATTAATAATTCAAACGAAAACTAATAAATACACAAGAATTTTATTTTAATGCGCAAACCTCTCGTAACGCACTAGCTTCTTTATTTCTTGATTGTGACGAGTATTTCGCAAGCATACTATCATATCTTTCAACTGCTCGATCGTGGTTACGACGGATTTCCTATAACAATTGATTGTGAAATTGTTTAATTTCGAACGTATTCTAATAATGACGATTAAGATAAATACCTTGAATTCTTTTAACTCATTTTTTGTGAAGTGAGATATCGGATGTATTAACTTTTCATCAATATCATTTACCTTTAATAATTTAAGAAGGTATAATTAGTTAATTTCCCAATACCAAACAATTTCCTTTATTTTATTTACCAATTTTGATTTAAATGCGGAAGTTGTTTGTAATGTATCAGCAAAGATTCTAGCTGCAATCAGTGTAAAGTCACGATCTAATTGAAGCAAGGTAGAATTAAATTAATAAACAAATTGATAAACATGTTACAAAAAAGAATAACTGAATTACCTAATAGTGAATCGTCACTTGGAACTTGCGTTGCTTTTCTCGTCAAGTTATTACTTGCTTCATTATATTCTTTATCAAATAAAATTTGATAATTAGTTCACAGTCTAGAAAATATTTTATTTACACCTGTCAATTTGACGAAAGAGAAACTTACTGACAGATTCTTCTGAATAATGTTTTAATGCTTTAAATAGAGTATCGAGCCATTTTTCAAAATGATCAACTTGTTCTTCAAATTTTCTTACATTTGCTCTGAAATTTGGAGTATCATGAATAGCTTCTTGAGGATTTAAGCTATTAAGAACAGATTCTGCCGGTAATGGAGGCGTGACAAGTATAGAAGACATTTTTTACGATTTTTTTAGGATTGAGGGAATACGGATCAACAAGCAAATCGACGTATAAATATAAAATGCCACAAGATCACGATTAATTTTTCTATAACGAGTTTAGAAATGGGTAACCTGAACCTGATTGAGTCATGATGTCCCAAAATCAGAAACTTTATTCTCCCGATGGCAAAAGGTCTCATCATTGACAAAATATCAAAGAAGCTTACTATGATTAAAATTCCAAACAAAAATTTTGTTCGTTATCGCCTCGAGTTTTCCATCCAAAAGATGATGAATGCGCGAAAATACAGAGAATTCACGTAAAAACAAAGTTTCACGTGATATTTATTCATTTGTTATTTTTAATTAATGCCCTGTGGGAAGTGCACACTATATGATGGAAATTCACCAATCATGTGCACGCGCACATGATATATGCGCAGCTATGTACCATCATGTGATGGATAATGATATCAAAGTTTAGAGGCAATGAGTTCATAAGCTGAAATATTCGATAACTTCATAAACTAGTCTAATAGAAGATAACATTTTCTATCAATGCATTTAACTTGTTCCACATGCCAAAAAAGTCAGGACAGTTTATTTGTGTTTTTGTTTTTTTTTATTCATCCAAATTTGGGTACCCCCAGATACCAGTCAGTTAAATTACCGCAGCAATTTTGGAAAAAGATGTGAAAAAAGATTGGTTTTTAGATCAGATATAGTAATGTATAATTTAGATAAACTATTCCCTCGTGGAACTATTTTCGCACGAAGCGGATCAAATTTAAACCAATTAAAAACCTTCGAGATTTTTATTTACAAATTTAAATTGGCTTTATGTTTCACAACATTTACTTTGAAGAATTCATTATTTAATTGAAACTTTCCACCTCTCAAATGAGTCATTTGTTTATCCCTCTACTAACAAATAAAAAGAAATAATTTAAAAACAAAACCACTCTTTTATATATTGTTGCTCTCATTGTAATCATTCTCTCTCTTCTAATTTAACGCTTTTTCCTTTTTTTTCAATCCTGTTTTTTCATATATTAATATATCAAAAAAATTTAATTTAAGAAAAAAAAATTTTTTACTTCCTATAAACTATATTTATACATTTCAAAATGCACGACCAAATGATACTATCTTTAATAGCTAGAATAGGTTTAAAGGTTGGTATACTTTAATTATTGCAAATTTTTTAATCTTGTTAAATACATTACTTTTTGAATTGATCAAATCCTTTCTTTTATATGTTAAAGTTACCATGTAAGAGCGGTAAAAAGCTAGATACTTTAGAAGCGGATAGTCTAGTACAACATATAGTAAATGCTATTGTTGATTTATCACGGTACAAACTTGCAACAATTGTACAGAATTTGTCAAAACTCTTGGAAGAAATTTCAGAGGTAAAAATGATTTAATTTAATTAAAGCTTTTAAACTTATTATAAATTTTAACTCTAGAATTATTTTCCCTTGATAGTCTACTCCATCTGAATTTGTGGATTCTCCACATTCAGAACACCTCCAATCACAATTACTCATCTTAAAAATTCTCTCCGCTTGCATGACTGCTCATTGGAAATATTATCGAGGAATGCAATTGGAAATATCATCATCGCAATCACCTATCACCGATGAATCATCAAAATTACCAAAATCGTGGGATGATCCACCAACTTTAGATGAAAAGTTAGCAAAATACATTCTAAAGGTTTTATCTCGCTTTCTTTATCTGATGGCTTCTCAAGAAGATAATAATCCCAATATTCAAGTTGGACCAAGTGGTGGTAGGAGTGAAAACTCTATTCATAATATAAATTCTCAGGCTGCTTGGTCTCCGGCGATATACGACCTAGTTAGTGATATATTTAAAAACGCCGGACGCGTAATATTCTATATCTCTGCATCGAACTGGGAGGTGGTTTTTGCAAGGATTAGGACTCGAATTGCATTTTTATCGTCTACTGATGATGAGTGGCCCGACACATCAGAATTAAAAGTACTAGAATGTTCGGATTTAAATTCGACAAGATTGTCTATGATATTACAAGGTCAGCAATATGAAATCCTAATTTTAAAGATTTTTAAAAATAATTTCTCCCTATCTTACATATGTTATTATTATTATTATTTTAGAGCTTTGCAATTCTTTTAAGCATTTAAAAAAGAATGCTCAGATAGCAATGGCGGTTGTACTTCGCAAAGCCATATGGAATTGGATAGAAGTCTTTCCCGCGGAATTTGTTAAATTATGTCAATCACAAGCAAGCATGGATGGCGCATCCAGCCTATTTGATATTATTGCTAAAAAAGATAGGAGTTTATTTTGGCCTGTTCAAACTATGTTGTTGATCCTTTGTCCTGATAAGTTAATGAGTGCCATTAAATCAGACAAATCTGCCAAACAAACCATTCTTAAAGTAAGTCAACTTTTTTCTGTTAAAAAAAAAAAAAAAATTATGACCTAATCACCCAAAAATTTTTAGATACAATTTTTTGATACTCTCAAAAGATCTTTAAGGAATAAAAATGCAGAAGTTGCAGCAGTATGTTATGTAGATATATTCAAAGCTTCCACCTATGTAAAAAACGAAGCATCTGCACTTCGCTTGATAGTACCGGATATAGAAAATGAGTTAAAAGTTAGTTTATTTTCTTTTTATGTGTGAATATGCCTTAATTGTTTTTGAAAGACAAATAGTGCCAATTATGGAACTCGTAACTTCGTATATTAAAAATTTTTTTCATTTAAATTATTTAATTAGGAAACGCTTTTTGATCCAAATCGACCATTCCCCAATGAGCAAAATGTTGATCAAAAGCTTATGACCGATTGTCTTACGGCTTTATTTAGAATAAGCCCTGGAAACACTTTGCGCTCTTTAATTCCAACTTGCGTGCATGAAAATGTACCAAATGCTTTCAAGTTGGTTCTTGTTAAAAGTTGCTATTCTATCGCTTCAGAGGTAATGTTCTTTTTCCTTTTTTTTTTCTTTCCCGAAAAAAAAAATAATTCATATATTTTTAAAAAATTTTCTTAGGAATCTCGATTCCCCTGGAGCCCCAAAATTAAGTCGATGTATCCATTTTTGGCAGATCCACTTCGTAAATTATTCCTGGATCTCATTAATGCTCGAACTATGCCTTCAGATACTAAAAAGCCCCAGAAGAAGATTTATGAAGATTATCAAGAGAGATCCGAAATTATTTTAAACATATTAAAATTATATCGGAATGAACCATATCTGGCGATTGTGGTGAGTATATTAATTATTTATTTTTATTTTATGATTTTATTTCTTAACATTTTTCGTTTAAAGCAGGAAAAGTATGGGCAAGCAATCGACAATCAATCTATTATACTCGGGATCATGAAGTGTCTAAATGATACCAATGATTCCATTAAGACTACCGCAATTGAGACTTTATTAGAACTTCACACCGTTGATCTTATAAATTTATGGGGGCCTGAAGAAAATAAAATGCACAATTTTTGGTCTATAAGGTATTAATTATACAATACAATTTTTTTTTAAATATATATATATATTGCTTTGATCTTGATTTAAATTAAGTATTTTTTTCTTTTTTTTGTTTTATTTAAAAAGTTCTAAAATAACGTGTGCCGTCGCAAAGCAAATTATAGGAATGCATAAATATGATGCAATCAAATTAGAACTTTTGTACCAACTTTTAATGCGACGTAATGAATTTCTTAGTACAGCTCACAAAGTAACTCTAAATTTGTTATTTTTTCATATATGCATTAAAATTCCGTGCTTTCTTTTATTTTAACACCAACTTTATTGTTTAGGCCGAGCTAATTACTCCAATAAATGTTCCAGATCGATTAACTTCAAATATACAACTTGAGATTGCTTTGCTGGTCTCTTTATGTTCTTCTGAAATAGAAATATGTTCTTTGTCAATTAACTGTTTTTCTGAGTTATGTCGAGAAGCAAGAATTACAACCGAAAATTTTGCAATTGATGAGGATGAACCACAAGAATTGCCAATATCTCCTCAAATCACAATTGTTGATAATTGGAATGTATATACAGAATTATCAGTTTCCCCATATATAGTTCCTGGTCGGATGTCACAACAAAGGCGCATTCGTAAATTATTACGCCTGATGACTCGTCCTACAGCTGGCAATTTTGGTGCATGGGAAGAAGCATGGAACAGATGGAAAGATCTTACAGAGATAATTGCAAAGCCATCTGAAGAGTCAATTCCATTAAGTCCAATACCACTAAAAAAAGGTATAATTGGACTGTTCCCCGGTCCAAAAGGGAGTCCACCCGTTGCCCCGGTTCCTGATATTAGTGAGTCGCAATCTGTAGAATGGCATAATTATACAGGATTTCTTGCCGCATTAGGTGGTTGTTGTGTTATTGAAAAGACAAATTCAAGATATGGGCGAACTTTAGGGACTTCTAATCAAAGAATTTCTATTCCTTCCAGTGACTGTATGGCAAAGGTCGAAAGATTTGTTCAAGAGATGGTTTCCTTACTGGTTAGCGGTACAATTTTTGTTCGAGAGACTGTGAAAGATACTCTTGGAAATGAATTGAGTCCGAGGTTATACGTTATTCTTTTCAGTCATTTAGAGTCAATCGTTTCTCGCTTCTTTGATAAAGATGGAGAAGCCACTCCTAATGAGAGATTCACGCTCTTTATAGAGCAAGCAATATCAGTCTTAAAACTGATATTAGAACGAATTTACGATGTCTCTGACAATTTATATTCGTGTGATCTTGGTGGACTAGTTCTTTCATTTGCTCGTTACCTAAATAGGTTAAGCACGAGTAACACTTCTCTTCGTATAAAAAAGAAAATGTGTCAACTTGCGGAACTTTTGATGTTGAAGAAAGAATATGTTAACCTTCGTCAGGAGATTAAGTTGCGCAACAAATTAATAGAAATAATTATGGAGTGGACTTCTGATTCTTCAATGAAGTCCGATAATTCAAATTATGTAGAAAATAATACTACTCTTAATAATAAAAGTGAAAGAAGCGAAAAATTGCACAGAGATTTGGATCAAGGGTGCTTAAAAACAATTGTAGCTCTTTTGCAACAGTTGCCATTACAACCATCTGAAACCCCTCACGAATCAGAAATCAGTTCGATCAAGTCGAAAATGTTCTATAAATACTTTTCGTTCTTTATCAAGTTGTTGAACAGATGTAGAATTTTAGAGGTTTTGTATCTTAATTTGTTTAATTGATTATATTACACTTATTCAAAAAATTATCAATTTTTCCGAATTTCTCAACTTTTTTTTTATTTTATAAAGGCAATTGATAGTGGAACACATTCGGCTAAAAATAACCAAGATCTACAAATGTTGTTATCAAAGGTGTCTATTTCAACTTTAGTGAATTAATCCGGTTGTTTTTAAATAAATGATTATGATTTTTATTCTAAAACTAAAATTTATTATTTATTATGAATATAGTCCAAGGAATACGTCAAAGATTTAGGACCTTTGAAAGAGTATACTATTTTAGCACTAAGTAATCTTTTGAGCGCAAATGTGGATTCGGGTCTTAAATTTTCACTCTCCATGGGATACCATGAAGATTCAAAAACCAGGACTGCTTTCATGCAAGTTCTTACCAACATTCTTAATCAAGGGACTGAATTTGAGGGATTGGATGAGAATGCTATGAAAGAAAGATACAATAGATTGGTTGAGGTTGTTACAAATTCAGACCTTGATATTGCACTCTCTCTGTGTGAAGTTTGTCACGTTTCTGAACAAGACGAATCAACTAAAGTCTTGATATCAGTATTCGATTCACAAAATAAGTTGTATCCTTTCTTCAAAGTTCTGTTTGAAAATGAAGTTAATCAAACAGGTAAATTATATGATAAGCGAAAAATATGTGTCCTTTTTTTTATTAAGAAACAAATCTTAATGGTTTTGCTCTCACTAATTTGTGATAGATAATAAAGTCGATCTATTTAGAAAGACTAATTCGGCAACAAGATTTTTAACATATTTTGCTAAAGCTCACGGAATTGAGTATTTACGTGAAACTCTTCAACCAGTTTTAAATGAACTTTTTGAAAAACCGCCAGAATACAGTTGTGAACTATATAAAGATAGACTAAGTCCAGAGGAAAATTTCGAAGACAATTTGAAAAATCTTCAAGAGCTTGCGGAAGCTTTTATAAACGCGATTTGCGGTTCTAGTGAAAAAGTTCCCAGGTACGACATTTTGTTTTTTATTTTCTAGAACGATTATGCAGATATTCAAAATACTATTATATTATTAGATCCTTCCGTTATATATGTCATCACCTTGCAACGGCTGTCGAAGTAAAGTTCCCAGAATTAAAGCATAGAATAGTTGGGTCCTTTATATTTTTAAGATTCTTTAACCCAACTTTAGTTGCTCCGGATAATAAAAACCTTTGTAAGCCCATTGAAAATATGAATATTAAAAGAGCCCTTTTGTTGGTTACCAAGATCATTCAAAACCTTGCGAACGATGTAAGATTTGTGGCACCATCTATGATGATTATGAATAATTTTTTAGAAAAGCACGTTAAAACAATGAATGATTTCTTAGAAGAAATTTCTGTATGTTACATTGTTTTATTTTGAATCAAATTTTATTTTTTCCTGAGAATTCGGGAATTAAATCTATTAAATTTTTTTTAAACTTTAATAGCAATTGCCATATTCGACACCAACAACTGAATTAAAAGCTTCGGATATTACTCCATGCAGATTAGACGAAAACGACAAAAAATCTTTGCATAAGCTTTTGCATAATAATCAAGAAAAGATGGCGAGAGAATTATCAGCACGAAGAGTTAAATATAGTTTTTTAGGAATTTCAATGGATTCCGAACAAGCTCAAACTAATAAAACGGCATGGGAAAAACTTGGGACCTTACTAGCTCAATTAGGTCCACCAGCAGAGCAACCGAGGAAAGAGACCATTTATGCTCACACACCTTATTATGACACAACAAATCATTTTTTTGGTGAATTCATGAGAAGGAATAAAGGTCGTAATTTGGATTCGATCGCAGAAAAGAGAATATTTTACGAAAGTGGTGTCTCAAGGGTAAATTTCATTATTAATTTGATCGTTAAGTGATTTTATGTAGTAATGATTAAATTTTGAAATTAAACTTTTTTTTTTAGGAAAGGCGCCCTGTATTTTATTATATCGCGCGAAGGTTAGAAGCCGAAGCGACAGATATTGAACTTTTAATGTATCATGTGCTAAACGTAAGTTCTTTCTTTTCGTATAATTTTAAATTCAAAGTAACATTTAACGTTAACCGATTATTAATTTATTTTATTATCAAAAATTTACATAATAGACAATAGAATTTAGAATGGGACAACCATTTGAAGTGGTCGTTGATTTAACCCAATTTGGTTCTAACAACGAAGTTCAATCTCAATGGGTTCAACAATTCATCCAAATCCATCCGTTCGACATTCAAGAAAATCTTGCGAAATTGTATTTTTATAATACCAATACCACCTTCAAGAAATTTGTAAAGAAATTATCTCGTCCCTTATCCCCTAAAATCGCCAAGAAAACCTTATTTTGTTGTAACCTAACCGAACTTCATGAATACATTGCTCCAGGAGAAATTGGTTTACCTAGGTCTACAAGTAAGAATAGGTTAATTTATGAGTATTATAAACATAAAATCTTCAAATTTTAAATTTTTAATTATAATTATAGCAATATTGGACACTGATAACAATGGTATTATTCACACACCTGTAACTAAAATTTCGCATTATAGAATGCATATTCCTGTCACAATAAAAATAAGTAGCGAATTTATCCAAATCCTAACGGTAAGTCCTAAGAAGTTTTTTTTTTTTCCTTTTCCAAAGTTAACATGATTACACATTCGAATTGATTTTCGATTAATATAGCTAAGAAGACAAGATTTGTTCTATGGACTGAGTTGTCAATTAAATGATGTTTATCATATATCGGATATCGAAGACATAACTAACTCCACTCATAGGAATGATGATAACGAATTTATCATCAAGCAAGATCGTGGGAGACCTACATACATTTTTACGAG